GTGAAGTTTAAATGCATGTGAATTATATGGTATGCTTGTGCCGAATCCTTTAAGGATGTTGAATCCCATATTACTTGTGGGCTCATACAATTTATGTAAAAACTGTAAAGAAAGTGATAGTAGGGGGTGAAAGGGAAGGAATAAATATGCATTTACAGAGTCCGATATTTTGTTCTCAAAAAGGAATGAGAGAGATGGAATCCCCATCTAAAGCGGGAGTTCATATCTATTTATCAAGCTTGAGATGACTTCTCCCCACCCCATTGGGTTGCAAAACAAGAATTATAAATGAAAAGTGGGCTTCGGCTTTTTTAGGCCCATATGGTCTGTCCATATCTCTGCGGGCCAATGACAGTCATTTATGAGAATATAATACGTAGATTTTTAATTCTTAATTTTTAATTTTTATATTTTATTACCTTTTCTATTGTTGAGGTAAGTGATGATGAATCATTGAAAAAAAAATGATGATGAATCATTGATTGACTTTTAACTAAGGATGGAATTTTTTCTTGTACTCAAACTATCGAGGATAGCTCGGTGGGAGTCTTCCCAGGGCTAGTGAAGTTTATATTTGTAAGAATTAGGTGGTATGTATGTAAATCCCCCATGATCATTTTATTTTTAAATTCCGTTGCTTGGTCTTCGTTGTGGGAACAATGAAGAGTCCTTGATTGATCTTGTGCTTGAGATGGAATTTTTTCTTGTAATGACGCTATCAAGGATGGCCTTATGGACATGAAAGCTTGCTATTAAGTAAGGCGAATCACGTGAAGTTTATGTATTTAAGAATTCAGTGGTATGAATGTAAACCTCTCCTTATTATTGTTTTTAGATTTCATTTCTTGTTCTTCAAAGAGTAAAGCGATGATTCAGATGATGAATCATCGATTGATCTTGAAGTAAAGATGGAATTTTTCCTTCCATGGAAGCTATTGAGGATGGCTTGGATGGAGGTTTGTCTTGGCAACCCATATAAAGCGAACCATTTAGTTCAGTGTTATTTATATAAATACACAGGAATTGAGTGGTATGTTGACAAAGATGATGACGAATTAGTGATTTCTCTTGAAATAAAGATAGAATTTTTTCTTGTACTCTAACTATTGAGGATGGCTTAGACGGAGGGTTCTCAGGCAGCATGTATAGAAATGCAAAGTTCTTATCAAATAAAGTGATCCATGCGAAGTTTAAATACATATGATTTCAGTGGTGCCCCTTTTTTATTTTCTTAGATTCTATTTCTTGTTCTTTGAGGGAAGCAATTACGAATAATTGATTGGCAAGCCGTCTGAAATATTTCTGTCACACTCGACCCGACATCTCTTTTGCAGTGAGCGTGATGAGACCCTACATGCATGATCATATCATGGGTAAGTATTTTTATAGATTTATAGACTTTTTCATGAAGAGTGCACCAAGGAAGGGGTTTATCGTCAAGAAGAATGGGCATGTAGATATTGAGGTCTTTTGTGATGCTGACAGGGCGAGTTGTGCAGATGACAGAGGATCTACCTCTGGATATTCCATGTTTGTAGGGGGCAACTTGGTCTCTTGGAAGAGCAAGAAATAATTTTTTGTAATGAGATCAACAACAAAGACAGAGTACAAGGTCATGACTTAGGAGTTGTGTCGATGATATGGCTAAGAGCCTTGTTGGTCGAGCTCAAGGTGGACCAAGGAACTCAAATGAAATAGTGGTACGAGAACAAGTCAGCAATCAACATCACTGACAACCCGGTGCAACACGATAGAGGCAAACATGTGGAGATTGATAGATTCTTCATTAAGGAAAAGCTAAATAACGGGCTAAATAACCGGCTACTAGAACTAAGTCATGTAGCCACTGAAGAGCAAGTAGCTGACTGCCTCACTAAAGGACTTAGTTCATTAGATTTGTCTAGGTTATGTGACAAAATGGGCTTGGTGGATATCTTTTTTCCCATCTCGAGGGGGACTGTTGAGAATTGGACCTTATTTAAGTTTCTATTGGTAAAAAGGGAATATTTAAGAAGTCTAGGGGTTTATTTGTAAAATATTGCAATATCTGATTTAAGCCTGTGTTATGAATGAAAAGATTAGGTTTTGAACAGTTCTTTCTTTTGATTGATCTTGACATAAAGTTGAAATTTTTCTTTCCACAGAAACTATTCAGGATGGCCAGGGAAGAAGCTTCTCGAGCAAACCATATAGACATGCAAGGCTTCCTTTAAATAAAGGAAACCATGTTATTTTTAAGAGTAGGGTGGAATTTTGAAAGAAGCTACACAAATTAGTTATTGATTTTGAAATAAAGATGGAATTACTCATTGAAATTATCGAGGATGGCCTAGGGGAGGCTTATCAGGATATGCAAGGTTGCCATTAAATAAGGTGAACCATGTTATGTTTAAATATATAAGAATTCAGATGTATGTATGTTAATCTCCCTTATTTTATTTTTAAACTCTGCCTCTTGTTCTTCATTGAGGGAAGCAATGATGAATCTTCGATTGAATTGAAGATGGAATTTTTCTTTGTACTAAAATTATTGAGGATGGCTGGCCTGAAGGATGCTGCTCAGGCAACCTGTGGACATACAAGGTGACTCATGAAGTTACAAACATATGAATTCAATGGTAAGTGTGCTTTATTTTTATTTTTTTTAGATTTTATTTCTTGTTCTTCGTTGAATCATGAATTAACGTTGAACTAAGATGGATTTTTCTCCTTTTTTTGTTGTATTGAAGCTATAATAAGGTTGCCATTAAACTAAAGGCGAATCATATGAAATTTAATTACATAAGAATCCAGTGCTATGTATATAAATGCCCCCCTTTTTTTTAAGATTTCATTTCTTGTTCTTTGGGGGAAACAATTACGAATCGTTGATTGTACTTAAGCTAAAGATGGGATTTTTCATTGTTTTAAAACTATCGATGATAACTTGGGAGAAGGCTTCTCCAACAACCCCCCAGATAGACATGTGAGGCTCTTGTTAGGTATGACTCATATACCATAAATGGGACAGATGCTGGAGCGGAGCGGAACCCACGAGTGAAGTGGAGCGGAAGGATCTGTCCAATCGGGGGAGTTTCATTATGTGCATAATTGGGGGTGTGGGGGCAACACCTCGCGGTTTGGTATAGGGGTAATTAAAGTAATTACATATTGTACTATAGGGTTATATATATGTCCTGTTTGTAACCCTAGGGGAGATTCTAAATCTTGTATTCTGTACTCTTTTCTGAATATTGAAAAGAAAGTCGCCGCTCTACTCCCGAGGACGTAGGCATCTTTGCCGAACCTCGTAAATCTCTGTGTGTTCTTCTGGATTTGTGTCGATTCTTGTTTTTTCTTCGCCCTAATTTCTCAACAGCTCTCCTAGCTAAGATTAATGGGTGACAAGGGCCTTATGATATGATATGTTAATTTCATTTCATTATGAGGATTGTATTGCAGGGAGTTATTACAAATTAGTAATGTGCTAAATAGTCGTTTAACTTCTTACATTAAGGCCATTTTGTTCCCAGAGTCTATAAATGTGCCAATTAGTCCTCAGATATTTTAAGTTGGAGCTGAAATAGTTTTCAATGATTTGATTGCTTTGCAGGGAGCTATTACAAAATCTTCCAGAGACCTATTTGGTTGCTTTTAAGCTGAAAACATAATTTTTAGAATGGTAAATTTGCTTGATTTCAGTATTGCTTTGGATGTAAATTGAAGTGGCTGGTGGATGACCAGAGGAATGTTTAATATTTGGCAAAGTCTAGTTTAATATGGGCCTACTGTTAAGAGATGTATGTGGCAGTTGAGCTTTTGTGAATTGCTTCATGAAGAGGACATATTGCAGTGACATTTATCTATTTATCCAGAGGACTGTTAAACTTTTGTGAATTGCTTGACCGTTTGCATGACGTCACTACACTTATTCTAAATTACATAAATTGTTTGCCACTCATTGCGGGGATTTCTTACAGAATCCTTTGAGGGCCTCATGTGTTTACTTTTAAAAAGAATACACGTTCTTAAAAAAATGCTTGTTTTCACTATTTGGTTGGATGTAATTAGATGGATCTAAATTGAAGGGGCTATGATGATAATGGAAGAGGGTTGTTTTCTCTTTATTCGGCAAAACACGCTTTAATGGGCCGCACAATATTTTGCAAGGGCTTGAAATGGAATAAAGTGGAAGATTGGCTGAATTCATACTCAGCCTCTGGTGCTAATTGTTAGTTCTTTTTCATTTTCATATTACAATGGGAATTTTATTGTAATTTGAAATGTTAGAACAAGGCTACTTTCACAAACATAATAATTTTAGGGGCTGCTGGTAAAATATTTAAGCTAAATTCTGCTAGATGGCTATTTCGGCGTTAATCCTAAACCCTTTAGTAAATTTGACTATTCTGCAGATTTAGTAAATCCTGGGAACACGAGAAGAGAAAGAATGATGCGAACAGGCTTACCTTCCTCAATGCTTTCAGGAAGGAGGAGAACAATGAGAATTTTGGTCGATTTTTTATGCCGCGATCCCGTCATTGCCTTCTCAGCACTACAAGAATTTATCCTATTTTCGATGTTCATATGCTGTCGGTAATTATTAGAAAATCTCCTATTAATAATTATCCAATGGTTTTTCTTGAAAGTAAAATCTGTGGTGTTTATATGTTTTATAGGGCGTAGCTAATTCGTTTGTCGATAATAACTGCAGAAAATTCATAAAATACAACTACTTAGAAATATTATAATTATTCCGTAATAAATCAAATAGCTAAAAGATTTACATACTAGATACATAATACTCAATACTTGTATATCACATCAAAAATATCACTATTAAGACTTTCTGATCGTGAAATACACATTTTCATGCATAGATTTAAAGCTCCGAATTTCTAAAATGTTTGAAGAGAATTTCTATTTTAGCAAATTAAAATTAGATTTTTCATTGGAAAAAAAGAGTGAACTTATGTTTCATGTATTCAGTTTTAGTTTTACTCGAACTAATGCCTTTAGTGTTTTGTGATCTCATGCAAGAATTTCTAGGTGGCCTTTTATTGTGGAGGCGGCCTTCTGTTGCCATTCTTCTGAAGAAATTATGTATATATGCTGTACGTATGTGTATATGTATATTTATATTTACATATACGTATGTACATATGATTGTGCCTTCTCTTTGGCAAATTTAAGAAACATTTTATCTTGCCTGTCTTCAACTTCCATTTCCTCCAAAAGAGAAATAGTTGTTTAAATTTTTATGCATAAACTCATTATGCAAAACTTGATGGGCATGTTGGTCACATAATTTTGTCTTTTGTTTCTTTTGGTAAATTAATGATTAAGACTGATTCAAATATTTGTTTGACATCCATGATAAAGTCTGATCAAGCATTGCATTTCATTATATAGCATTTTGTATTTTGGGACTACTTGGATTTAGTTTTCTTTGGTTTATTTATTACCTTGTTGGTTTTATGCATATTTATTTTCTATCAATTTGAGTTTGTAGTTTTCTCTATCTTTCTAGCCGCCTTTGCTAATTTTCGCATTCCTCTTCATGCTTTACCACATCTACCATGTCATCATGTTCTAGAAACGGACTAGTCTAGCCGGTTTGATGGATTCAAACTATAAAAAAATGGCATGGATCGTGACTTTCGGTTACTTTTTTTTGCAATCTTTATCTTCAAAAGCAATTTTTTGTAATGATCTGTCTTAGAACATCACTTTCCTAATTATCAGTTCTAAAACTATGGTTTGGCAAATAGATTTTTTTTTCATAATTTCCAACTCAACTAAATTATTTTAAGTGCTGATTTTAATTGAAATAACAAAAACATTTTATTATTTTTGAAAAGTTAATTTATATCTTCAATTGACTTTTGATAACATATGAACCATCTGTGCAGTGTCGAACCTGCTGACAATGAACTTGAGGTGATGACATAATAAATTTTGAAACTTATAGATTAACAATGACATGATTATATTATCATTATGACAAATTACACATGTATGAATTGAGACAAGTAGTATGCATTTTTTTTGTATTGCTATCTTTGTACAAAATGATAATATAAAGCAATAAAAGAAGGAATCCAAGTGCTCCTTCCTGCATGGCAGCTATCTATGAAATCCTTGGGATAAATGATTTGTCTTCTATATTTAGTTTTCTATTTAATATATCAGCAGTTTACTCAGCATGTTGACACTTTCTCTTAAGCAATTTAAACACATTAAATTAAGCTTTCGTTAACCCCTGTTATGTAGTTTCTGCTAAAAAATTGTTTATCTATCAGATTGTTCTGCAATTTTAAAGCTAAATTTTTATAATTTTCTTGTCATGTTCTGTACTTCCAAAGCTAAATTTTGATCTATTTATTGCCTTGGGGCCATTTTTTTCAATTTTTCAGGTTCTTTTTAAATGCATGTAAGATCTTGTTGCTGGGTACTTTGTTTTTATCATTCTTAATTGCGTCCATGTTCTGGTTGTAGACCTACATTTTCATAAAAAGATGGAAGATTTACATACCATACCACTTGTTTCCTATGTTCTTACCTATCTAACCACAAATCTTCATTTTTTGCGCACATACTACCTTGCCTATGCATGAAAAGTGTATTTCACTTTTTTAGAAGTTTAAATAATTGATTTTTGACGTGATATATAAAAGATTTGGGTGGTATAAAAGTAGAAATGTAAATACATAAATATTGGATGATATTCATGTAAATGCCCTTAAAAAAATTGATTCTGTGTGATTAGCTTTGTGCGTACAGATCAAAGGTATGCTGTCCCAATTTCCTGAATTCGTTTGAGCAGATTAGGAAGTGTTAGTGTCCAATTCCTTTCATATTTGGAACCTTCTTGTACAGATTTCAAAGCAAAGAATTCTTTCAGCAGCAACAATGGAAAGTGTAGGAGATGAAGGTACCGGCAATTTGTTTTCTGATCAATGTTTATCTTCCTTAGCTTTTTTGAGTCTTTTTGAGTTTTAAGTCCAATTCAGGTCGGTTTTTTGCATCTTGTTAGATCTGAAACTTTGACCACTTTTAGTGGGCTATCAAAGTTGCCACAAGCTTTTCAGTGATATGAATCAAAACATCAGCAAGGTTGATGATCCTAGCACACAAGTTTCTGGTCTATAATACAAGGAGATCATGAGTTCCTTTTAGACACACCCTTGAAGATAATGTACTCCTTTTTAATGACTCATAAAAAGATTCATCTCTTGTTTCTGCTTCAGAAGCTTATTCCTTCACTGTTCGATATGAGATTCCAGCGGTTCTAATACTGTTTATTGTTGGAATTAGCATTCATGTTCAACTATCTTTTAAGATAAAAAGGGTTCTTTGTTTTCTAG